ACCCCTTCCAGTGCTCCATTGAGGACCCCACCAAGCAGACCAAGTTCAAGGGCATGAAGAGCTACATCGCCTACAAGCTGGTGCCCAGCCACACCGGGCAGCAGGTGCACCGCCGCTACAAGCACTTCGACTGGCTCTACGGGCGCCTGGCCGAGAAGTTCCCCGTCATCTCTGTGCCCCACTTGCCGGAGAAGCAGGCCACCGGCCGCTTCGGGGAGGACTTCATCAAAAAAGGCCTGGCCTGGTGGATGGACCACATGTGCAGCCACCCCGTGCTGGCTCAGTGCGATGCCTTTCAGCATTTCCTCACCTGTCCCAGCACAGATGAGAAGGCCTGGAAACAAGGCAAGCGCAAGGCTGAGAAGGATGAGATGGTGGGTGCCAACTTTTTCCTGACCATCAGTGTCCCCACAGGCCCTGGGGCCAGCCTGGACTTGCAGGAGGTGGAAAGCCAGGTGGATGGCTTTAAAGCCTTCACGAAGAAGATGGACGAGAGCACCCTGCAGCTTAATCACACGGCCAACGAGTTTGCCCGCAAACAAGTCACTGGCTTCAAGAAGGAATACCAGAAGGTGGGGCACTCCTTCAAGTGCCTCAGTCAGGCTTTTGAGCTGGACCAGCAGGCTTTTTCGGCTGGCCTCAACCAAGCCATAGCCTTCACTGCAGAAGCCTACGATGCCATCGGGGACCTGTTTGCAGATCAGCCCCGACAGGACCTAGATCCTGTGATGGATTTGTTAGCGCTGTATCAGGGGCATCTGGCCAATTTTCCAGACATCATCCACGTCCAGAAAGGTAACACCCTTACATGTTTTCTGAAAGTATGAAGTTTTATGTTTCAGTAGTATGCACACAGATGTAGGGACCAGGGGCTAGATTTGCCCTGCCTGTGGCTTGCTGGTCTTTGGTTAAATCTTTCTGTGTTTACTCAGGTAAACTGTTGCTAAAAATACAAAAACACAGCAGTGGCAATTTTTGTTCTGTGCCAAAGGTCTAGACATAGTTGGGAATTTTAGTGGTCAGAGGTTGCTGTGTTTGGCTGTTGTGTGTCCCTGAAAGAAACCGCATCTGCCTATACTCCTGGTACATTAAAGATTAATGGATTTGTTTACAAACCCTGGAGATCAAGTGGTATGAAAACAACTATTACTCTTTTATGTGTATTAGCTATCTTATATCTCTGATCTAGTAGATAATAAATATGAGGTAATCTGAAGATACAGGTACTTCTTGGAGTGACCACCTTGTTTGAGGTGAGCATGGTGGTGTGTGCGTTTTGCAGTGTCAGACAGTCAGATGAAATGTTTTAAAGCCGCTGGGGTTTCTCAGTTCAACCGTGCATTAAACTCTCTTGGTGCCTTTGTAAGAGTGATGGTGTTCTTTGTTTGCCCTTATTATAATAAAAAAGATGTTGGTCACCTGTTATCTTTTCAGCATCTTTCTAGCTGAAACATACTTCTGATTGCTGTTTGTGTGGTGCTTTGTGATCCATCAAAGAGAAAGAAACTGCAAAAATGAAAGAATCATCTGCTGTCTAACTGGTGACACTTACTCAGATAAATAGAAGTTTGTAGAACTATATATGTGTAGATGATTTCTCTGCTGTGAAGTTAATTATATTAGTGTATTCTTCACCACTGTGAGAAGACTAGTCCTTCTCTCGTTCCTTTTGCTGTTACATTCCTTACTTGTAGTTTTCAGCTCAAAGATCAGGGCGTGTGGGGATTGGAGCTCTGAAAGAGACAGAGAAAACATCCCATATGCTCTGCAGAAATGGGTGTGTGTCAACAGTTACCTGAGACAATGCATGAGCTTTATTGAAGATTATTTTGGAGATTAATAATAAGTGGTGTTCTGCATCCCAAGAGGCAGAGCTTGAATTGTCAGTCATGGTAAATCAGTCTTTTGTGCTCTTACGTGACATTTCCAGGCTTTTTGCATCTGGAACAGTACCTTGAGTTTGACGATAAAAGGGTTGGAAGAGGGTTTTTTTTCAGTAGATCAAAAAGGCAGGGTTCCAGGAGAGGTATCCGTTATTGCTGCGAAAATCCGAGGAGACAGAGTTGGTACAAAGCACACAATTTGTTGCTACTGAAGAAAGTGAGCTTTTCATAAAAATTGCACGCATCAAAGTCAGATTCCCATTCTCCTGACGAACCTTGAAAATTGTTAGTGGAAACTTAAACAATCTTAATATTATTTTGAAGAGAAAAGAGAAGTGTGCAGTGTAACCTTTGAGGAATTGTTCTCCTAGCCCCAGTAACATTGTGTTCTGATAAAAACTTTCAAGTATTTTAGATTTGGAGAGGAGGGTGGCCTTGACAATGCCTCATGTTTGGGAGCAGAGCATTTTCAAGGGGGTTGACAATGAATAATATGATTATCTGTAAACTTCTGGAAAAAAAGTAAAGCGAAAGATTTTTTTGTTGTTGTTAGGTGGAAAAAAACAGTGGATTATATATACTGTTTAAATAATATATCCTGAAGTTTTAAGGTTACATAGAGTTCTTCCCTGTGGTATTTCTGGAGACAAGACTTTGAAGAGAGGATTGGGAATAAGAAGATACATGCTTGACTCAACCCTATTTCTTTTAGAGTTCTGTTTGAATATGTGCTTACTGGTTAGGTTTACCTGGCTAAACCCAGGAAAGTTCACCTAAATGAGCTTCCACTAGAGCAGGGCATGAGCATGGTGTATATGTAGAGTTGATCTGGTGCCACAGCATTGTGCTGGAGCTTGTTGGAGAAGCATACAGCCAGTCTGTATGTAGGTGTTAATGCGCCAGCGCTTCTGCACTAACACTGCTTTCAACACAGTATTATCTCTGGGTACGTACTTGCCATCAGAAAATGGCATGAGCTTGAGAGGTTGGTCTCTTGAGTGTCCATGCTGATGACAGGAACAGGGTTAGAACCAGGGTATGTGTTTACTGGTTTTGTTCCTATTAACAAACAGGTAAATTGGAGGAAAACCAAGGGGAAAATGTTTTTTACACGCAGTATGTTGCTGCTTTATTACTCTTAAGAGTTACTTGTAAAAAGGGATAACTTTTCAATTCCAGATTGTAAACTTCAGATGAAAATATGAACTGTTTGGTGTTATTAAGACATAAGAGCTTTCTTTTAAATTTACTGCCCAGGGTAGTTGCCAGTTTTGAGAATTATTATTGTCTGTATAGACTAAACAAATGTCTGTTGGTGATAATAGATCATCTGAAAAATAGAGTTGACTTGTCTTTCTTCGAGTGTTTTATTTTCTAGCATACAGTTTCTTTGTGTAGTAAAATGACACTAAAGTGCCCTTAGAAGTAGTAGAAACAGCAGTCTGTTTGATACATTGCTTAGATGGCCATGCCTTTAAAAGATGAACTCTAAAGTTAGGATTTTGTTCTCCTTTGTTTTCTATATAGTGCAAATACATTGTCCACTTGGGATAAAGATTAAAACCTTTTCTAGACTCCATTTCGATATTCCCCTAGACCTCAGAAGGACTGAAAAATAAAGGCAGGTGTGCCCAAAACATACCCATGTCTGTGAATAGAATATTCAACTGCATTGCCTGATTATGGATTTGCTCTACTGCAGATGCAGATAGTTGAACAGCTGCTGAATGTGATTTGGAAGTGTGTTTTGTGGTATGGACTGAGAAGTCTGTACTTCTGCAGAAAGAGCAGACAATCTATAAGTTAGAGGCAGAAATGTCGCTCAGTTTGGGCTTTGTCTTTTATCCTAGAATTATAAACCAAAGCCTTGTAAGCCCCCCTGTTGCTTCATCTGTGTATCAGAAGGAAAGTTTGTTAATCATTGTACTTTTAATTCCTCTGGGGTCCATCCAGGTCTTTCTGCCTCTTGGGCTGAGGACATCCTACATCATCTGAAGTGTGCTGAAAGGGATTGTCATTTTGGTCACTTATGAAAAAACACGTGAACCAATGGACTGTGGGAATATTTTCAAACTGTTTATTATCTTATTAATCGCATGAAGTTCCACAAGGCCAAGTGCTAGTTACTTGGGAGAAGAGACCGACACCCACCTCGCCACAGCCTCCTTTCAGGTAGTTGTAGACAGGGATAAGGTCTCCCCTTCAGCCTCCTCTTCTCCAGACTAAACAACCCCAGTTCCTTCAGCTGCTCCTCATAACACTTGTTCTCCAGCCCCTTCACCAGCTTCGTTGCCCTTCTCTGGACATGCTCCAGTGTCTCAATGTCCTTCTTGCAGTGAGGGGCCCAAAACTGAACACGGTACTCAAGGTGCAGCATCACCAATGCTGAGTACAGGGGAATGATCACTTCCCTGGTCCTGCTGGCCACACTATTTCTGATACAGGCCAGGATGCCATTGGTCTTCTTGGCCACCTAAGCACACTGCTGGCTCATGTTCAGTGGCTGTCGACCAGCAT